TATAATTTGCCAAAAGTCACAGAATTTCAGCAGCTGAGTCTATTATACCCCAGAATCTGTTCTTTGCACTCTGCTTTGGACTGACACAGAAGGCATCCAGAAACTACAGAGAGATCGACATGTAACACTCTACCTTCTAGCCTATGATGAGATCAGAAAGCACATTACATCATTGCGTCAAGACCTACATAAGTTACCACTGAAATTCTGGGTTCATTTCAATGTCTTGATGTTTATCTATACACTCCTGAATGGGCTAGGGCCTGGTTAACCTGGAGGCTGTCTCTTTACACTCCATTGTGACAGCTTTTTTCAGGCTATATCTTACTCCTGGGGGAATTCTGCATCACTACATGTGTACAGAATACATGGTCCCTGCAGATTTTTGTGTTTCCCCGCAGAAAAATGACTTCTGATGGGAAAGCAAAGGGAAATCACAAGAACGGTCACATGCCCCCTTCCCAGCAGTGCAGACAGGTCAGTTTGGGCACCCAGAGCAGCTGGTAGAGACGTAAATCGCCTTGGGGGAGGGGGCAGGAGCTGGGCAGTCATGCGTGTGAGAAAGAAAGAGAGAGATGCTGTCCTTCTTGCTCGCTATTTTGGCATGGGGTGAGAGTGGGGGGTGTTTCTGAAGAGGTAGGCACAGGGCAGGCTCTGTTCCCTCAGGTGGAGGAGAATGTAGCAGCCTGCCTGCTTAGTGGATTGTTCCCATTGTTCTTAGTGAATTCCCCCAAAAGTATAAAAGAGGTGTAAAAATGTTAAGGCTCCTTTACATTGCCAGAGTGGTGTAAAGGAGCCTTATTGTAAAGGACAGTGTGGTGTTAGAAATGCTTATGGTACTTTAATGATTAGAACAGGTCTAAATTTTTAGACTGAAAAAACTTCCTATCAAAATGTGCTCCATGCACTATTTGCTACTGACCTTCCTGGAGATGGTCAGTAGCCAGTATAAGTTTGTGAGTTTGAGTCCCCAACCCTCACTTGCTCTTCAGTTGCCTATGATGTAACACTGAGCATATGGCTGCATATATTTGTTGACTAATAATAGAAATAAAAGTAATGGAGCAAGATTTGACTCTATCAGGCAGAAGGGGTTTGGTGATTTCCTCCAATGCTCCCCACTCCAATTCTCCATCCATTGTATTGTAGTTTAAATAAATTACCAAAATAATTGAACCCAGCTTGATTACATTGCATTACTGTGACAAAAAAAAAATGCAGAATTTTAAAATAGTGTGTGTAGAATTTTTAGTTTTTTGGTGCAGAATTCCTCCAGGAGTAATATCTGCCCATAAACCATTATGGTGATACAGCTGCAGCACTGCAGCTTCCCCATGTAGCACTTCAGCATAACAGCTCTCTACAGTGAAATCTACCTCCCCAAGAAGCAGTAGTTAGGTTGACAGAAGAATTCTTCCACTGACACTAGCACTGTCTACACCAGGGTTAGGTCTGCTTAAGTACGTTACTCAGCGGTATGAGTTTTTCACATAACTGAGTAATGTATCTGGGTCAACTTAACTTTTTAGTGTAAACCTGGCTTGAACATGGATACTACAGCTGGAAGAGTTCAGGCTCAAAATGAGGGGAATAAGACATTTCTCAGTGGAAAGCCTTCATCTGCACAATTCATGGTCACAGGAGATCAGATGAACCACACTTTAAGTACTCTTTCTGTGGGCCTTCAAACAAATTTAATCCAGGAAACTTTAAGACATACATAGTTATCTTGGTGCTCTGTAGAATATGCTAGAAGTCAAATTCAGGAGCGAACTTGGGAGTCTCTCCTCCTGGAGAAGACTGATTGCATTTTGTAGATACGATCTACTATATGGCTATTGTTTGGCAACACATTCCCCGACATCCCTCCCAACTGCTGACTTATGAAAGGACATTCACTTTTCCTTCTATTCCTGGGGGAATTCTGCAGCACTGTGCAATGCAGAATTTTGCAGAAATTAATGTGCATGCAGAATTTCTCGCCCCTCCTCCCCTGCCCGAAATGGGCTGCAGTGCTGCTGCCCACCACTAGGGGCCTTCTATTCACAAATAGAAGACAAGGGTGATTGGGGGGGGAGGGAAGGTAGGGGGAACTGAAGGGTTCCCAGCAGCTGCACTTCCCAGCATGCCCTGAAGGAAGGAGGCAGCTACGCACAGGAAACACTGTGCAAACCCGGGATCCAGCATGAGGCTATTTCTCCCTCTGGATCCCTGGGCTGGGGGGGTGGGGGGAGAGAGGGAGGAAAGAGAAGAAAGGATGTGAATGTCTGGGCTGGGGAGGGGGGCCCGCAGCTGGCCTATAGGTAGGGTGACCAGATGTCCTGTTTTCAAAAGGGACAGTCCCATTTTTTGGGACTTTCTCTTACATAGGTGCCTATTACCCCCCACCCCCGTCCCATTTTTTCCACAGTTGCTATCTGGTCACCTTATAGGGAGTGAGAGTGTCTGGGCTGGGAGTGGTCAGGCCTGGGCAGGCTGCACAGCTGGCCTCTGGGGGAAAGAGGTGAGAGTATCTCCCCCCACTGAGCTCTGTGTGGGAGGAGACAGAGAAACAGGAACTAGGTTGTCATAGGGGTTTCTTTAACTCTCTACTCATGGGGGGATTTTTGTGTGTGTCTGTATTGTTACAAACATACTTACTGACTGGTATTTTGAAATTAATTACCAGTTTCAATTATTTTGGTATGATTATATAGTGTTATTTAAACCAATACAATTTGCAGAATTTTTAATTTTTTGGCACAGAATGCCCCCAGGAGTATCTTCCTAACAAGAAGTTGTTCAACTCTGAAATTTTGATGGCTAAGTTACTAGGGCAATGTTGTGTGAAAACAGATTGCAGGGACAAAGAAAAGGAGGCCCGAAGGCACTTTTTGCTTGATCAAGTACTATATCTTGATGCAAGGTCCTTATACTTGACTGTAACTAATTTTACATGAAAGGAAAGTGAGAACCATAGTATTGATTATGAAACCTATTGATATTAAGAAAAAAAACCACACACACAAGTTCTGAGGTTTTTTTAGGAGATGGTTTAACCTCATCCTGTAATGAGTTTCATGCTAGTGTATTCCTGTGCCCAGGCAGATTTCATTCCAGGTTCGGGTCCCAAGTATATTTTTGAGCATTTAAATAAACAATGAAATACTGACATCTGAATCACTCCTTTCCTAACAGCAGAAGACATTCAGAAAAAGTTTCTCTCTATATAAACAGAAGACAATTCCAACCTTAAGATGTATCTGATTAGTGCAGGGGGAGGGAGGAGAGGGGGGGAGGAATTGTACATGGGTACATTTCAAATGCTAACAATCTAGTGAAATACGGTACTATATGTAACTGTGGGTCTTATAGGATGAATGTCAGAAATACACAGAAGTGCCTTGAAATGAAGTTAACTTGTTTTGTAGAGAGTTTAAATTAAAAATGCCAACTTTAAAGAAGAAATTAACGAAGGCTGTCTTTAACTATGATTAAATATCAATTCAAGAACAGTAGAGAATATTTACATACATTTTATGGCTTTGCAGTACTCAAAGTAGAAAATAGCACTTTGTCCTTAGCCTTATGTATTATATTCAAAAGTCATGAAAAAGCTTGCAGGATTTTCACTTCTCTTTTCACTATTCAGAGCACATCCCTAGCTCACCATGCTTCTGGCTTCCATGGATCAACTTAAAACGAGACCAAGCCATCTGTGCAATTTTTCAGGGTTTTATTTATTTATATTTAAAATTGAAGTTACATAAATACAAGATTACTATTAAATAAGTTACTTTCCATTCAAATCATCTACCATTAAAACAGTTATTTAATCTGTAGGTTTACAATTTCCTTCAAAGGCTACATAGCATATTAAAAAATTCAATGAGCAGATGAAAAGAGCAGCCGTCTGCAGCTAAGTGAATGATGGGATGAAACTGCCCACACCTTGACTGTTACATGGTATGAATAAATATAAATGATCAGATGAAACACAAAACCCTGAAATAAACATGGACATCACAGATACAAGTGTACACCACAGGAGCAAGCTATTGTGGTTCAGTGCAAGTATTAAATTACAAACCGTGTGACAGCAGAAATAGAGCTATTTATTACCTCTTTGGTTCCAAGAAAGTATTCACAATAATTCACACATAAATCAGCCTTTCAAAATTTCTCTCATCCACGTGCCTGGGGCAAATAAACCCTCTTTCCTTCCCCTCCCCCCCCCCATATTATAACCATTTGTGCAAGTAGATTGTAACAAACATCTGAGACACACAATTTTGCAAAGCTAATATGTGTGTATATATTACACATAGACATATATATAAAATTTCTAAATACTATCAGTTAGCTTCTGAATTATGCTAAATCTAACAATATGGTATTAGCAAGTCAATTTTCCCTTTCCGCCCAGGCATTTAAAATTTGACTTAGGTCATTCTTGTCTGACTGAGTTCGTGGGTTAATCTGAAAGTTAACGACAAGAGAAGATCAGCTCTGAGTTTTCGGTGGAAGTGTCAATTCCGAGTTTCCCCACCTCTGCAAAAGTGGCCACTCTCTAAACTAGAATTTTTTCCAGCAGGCCCCTCTTCCTCCAGCAGACGCTGCAAGCCAGGTACCCTTCCCATCAGCGCCGGGCTCTAAGGGCACCCCACGGATCTGCTCGCCCCGCAGTAACCCCTCCGCGCACGGACGGGGCTGGGCACTGCACCTGGAAGTGGAGCTTGACCCCGCGCTCTCTCCTCTCACTCCCCTGCAGCCCCTTTGCCCCCCATCCTTCCCCCACCCCGCTCCCCTGAGCTTTCACTGCCCGCGGCGGAATGGAGACGGCCGCCGCGGCTGCTCCCCGCCTCCCGGGCCTCCGACAGGCCGAGGAGAGCGAGCCCGCGGCCGCCGGGACAGGAGCCCGCGGGGTGGGGGGTGCCTCTCTGCGGCCGGGAGCGGAGCAGGCCCCCAGTGCCCCGCTCCTCAGCGCGGGGGAGCCCAAGTCCCGGCCGGGAGACTCCTACCGTTCAACTGCGGCGGGGCCGACGCATCTCAGCCCCGTCCCGACTCCTCCCGGGGCCCCAGCATCATCTGCTCCCGGGCCCACCCGGTTCCCGCTGCCTCGCAGGGACGGCGCAGCCCCAGCCAGAACCCCCACCGAATGGAAAATAGCTCCCTGGGCCCAGGGGCGGAGAAGGATGGGGGAGTGACAACGCCGTAGCCAATCACAGGGGCCCTGTACCTTCATCGGACCAATAGGAACAGTACAGGAATAGAGTTGAGGCCACATCCAGCCTATAGGAGCGCTGCGTTCGTACTGGCCCCGCTAGAACCGCTCTAGAGAGCCTCCGTTTACTGCCATCTTGAATTCGGGCAGATTGCCCAGTCCTGGAGTGGGCTCATCAGCGGCCATTTTGGATTCGGGCAATAAGCCCAGCCAAAGGGATTGATCACGTGGGGGTAAAATTAAATGAGGAAACCGTTAGCTGGAATGTTCTATGGCCTGGTTCTGGGCCTGGTAGGAAGTAATCTTTAGTAAAGGGCATCAAGGCCCTTCCCCGGCCTCCAGCTGGCAGGAGAGGCGTGGCTGGTCTGCATCACCAACCTTATCCCTTGGGAAACTGCTGGCAGTGCCCAGCACAGCCAGGAGATTAAAATAACGATTGCATCTGGTACAAGTGCCCTGATAGGGTTGTCAACGTTCTGATTGCAGAAAACCAAACATCCTTGCTCCACCCCCTGCCTTGAGGCTCCGTCTCTTCTCTGAGCTGCTCCCCCCACTCATTCCATCCCCCTCCCTCTTTCACTCGCTCTCCCCCACCCTCACTCACTTGCTCATTTTCATGGGGCTGGGGCAGGGGGTTGGGGTATGGGAGGGAATGCGGGCTCTAGGGTGGGGTTGGGGATGAGGGATTTGGGTGCAGGAGGGGGCTCCGGGCTGGGGGATGGAGCCAAGGGGGTGGGAGTGTGGGAGGGAACTCTGGGATGGGATAGGGGGTTGGGGTACAGGAGGGGGTGTGGGCTCTGGCTAGGGGTGTGGGCTTCAGAGTGGGGCCAGAAATTAGGGGTTCAGGGTGTGGGAGGGGGCTCCAGGCTCTAGGAGGGGGCCAGGGATGAGGAGTTCAGGGTGCAGGAGGGGGCTCTGGTAGGTGACCAGGTGGTCGGCCAACATCGGGTCGGGGGGGGTGGCTCAGAACAGGAATCATATGGACTCTGGCCACTAGGTTGCGCTACCCCACCAGTGAGGGGTGATTATATGAACTCTGGCTGCTAGGCCACACTACCCCACCTCTGAGGGGGATTATATGGACTCTGGCCATTGGGCCACACTACTCCAACTCTGGGGGTGATTTATATGGACTCTGGCCATTGGACCACACTGCCCTGATGCTTGAGGTGAGCCACATGGACTCTGGCCACGAGGCCACACTACCCTGCCTTCGAGGGGGGTTTATATGGACTCTAGCCACTGGGCCGCACGGCTCCGACACTGGGAGCGAATTATATGGACTCCAGCCGCTAGGGCCCAAGGGATGATTGCACGGAGGGAGGCCATCAGGCCGTGTCGGGCCACCTACAGAGAGATGAGCCTGCGAACTTGGGAGTGGCAAGGTCCCGACATCCCATCCCCTCCCCCCCACCCCAAGGGGGCGGTAAGGTGCCAGGCCGCCACAACTGGTGGAGAATGCAGGCAACGATCAGGGCCTGAAAGAAGGACCCACACACCCAAGATGGAGCTACAGAAGCTCCTGAAATGGCTGCTGGACAACCAACAGCAGCAGGCACAGTTGCTCCAGCAGCTTGCAACGCAACAGGAACTGCAGGTGGCGCAGCAGCAAGAACAGCAGCAGCTGCTGATTCGGAAACTGACTGCCCAACATCAAGCAAACCAGGAGCGACTATTTCAACAGATGGCAACTTTGCTAAGACATGCACCAAGTCCTCCCCAAGGCGCGGCCGGGGATGGCCTCGGAGGACCAGTGCACCGAACAAAGATGGGGTCCAGGGATGGCCCTGAGGCCTTTCTCATGACTTTTGAGCGGGTTGCAACCGCCATCCAATGGCCCACAGCACATTGGGTCACTATCTTATCCCATTACTTAACTGGCCCCCTCAATCTGCATATCGCAACCTGGATCCACAGGAGGCACTGGAGTACTTTAAAGGCAAGGCAGCCATCTTGGACCAAACGGGCATCAACCCTGAGACTTATCACCAATGGCTCCGCCAAAAGCGGTACCCGCCAGGGGCCAGGCCACGAGCCGTGGTGCAGCAAATCTGCGACCTCTGTTGGAGGTAGCTAGAACCAGAATGCCAGACAAATGTTCAAGTAGCCGAGACTGTTGCCCTAGAGCAGTCCCTCCAGTCCCTACCTACTAGCGGGAAGGAGTGGGTGCAGCGGCACCACCCGAGGACCCTTGCCAATGCGACCTCCCTAATGGAGGATTACATGGCAGCGGAGGGAGGGGAGAAGATCGGCTCCAAATTGGGGAACTCGGGTGAACGGAACCCAACCCTAGCATGGGGGGGTGCAATATAGAGGGGGGAGCCCTTGTTTGTATACCCTGCTATCAGGGACCCCACCAGCCCTCAGTGTAAGGGACCCAACAGGGGCGAACCTCATGCAGGGCCAAGATGACTCATTGGGAAGGCAGAGCACCCCAAAACACCCCACGCAGAGAAGGAAAGCGAGACCGGTGTTACGAGTGCGGACAGATAGAGCATTTCCAGAGGGATTGCCCATACCTGGATTGTAATTATGGACAGGTTTGGGCTGCCGGTCAACGCGCCCAGAAGTGGGAGCCGGATAAGAAAGTTGTACCGGTGAAAGTGGACTCAGGATGTAGCCAGACAATGATCTGGGCTGGGCTGGTAGAACCCACTGGTCTCACCGTGGCTCCCATACGCCTGCAGTGTATTAATGGGGACGTGAAACCCTACCCCACCATTTGGGTGCAGCTTGAGGCTGCTCAGCAAGGCTGGCGGTGCCGAACAGGGGTGGCCCCGAAGTTAGCTTACCCAGTGATTCTGGGATGTGATTGGCCGGGCTTCGCTGAGCTCCTGCAGGAGTGGGGTAACCAGCCTGCAAGGAAAAGGGGGGGTGGGCCAAGAGGCGTAGATTACTAGGCCAGACAGCACCAGATGGCCCCCTGGAGGGGCCTCGGAGAATCCTGAGATAGCCGAAGGAGGCCAAGCCCCTGCCAAGGCACCGACAAGGGAGGGCCAGGGATGGCTGGATGTAGATGCTGATTTCCTAGAAGAACAAAAGGGGAACACCACCCTCAGCCGCGGCTTGGAGCAGGTGACAGGCTCCCCGTGGGAGGAAGACCTGCCCTGACACCGACAGCAAGGCCCCCATTTTGAGATCCATAACAACGTACTCTATTGGGTGGTCCAGGAATCACAAACAAAAGAAGACCTGCACCAACTGTTGGTCCTGTGGTGGTTCCGGCGGAACTTACTCCACTTGGCTCACTCAGTGCCTTGGACCAGGCATCTGGGGAGGGAGAAAATGCTGCAATGGATGGCCCAGAGGTTCTTCTGGCCAGGCATCCATCAAGAGGTGCTGGATTACTGCACCTCTTGCCCCGAGTGTCAGAAGGCCAGCCCGAATGGGGTACTGAAAGCCCCCCTTGTGTTCCTGCCGGTGATTGGGACGCCCTTCGAGCGGATTGGCCTGGACTTGGTGGGGCCCTTGGAAAAGAGCAGCTTGGGCCACAAGGACATCCTCCTCATAGTCGACTATGCCACGTGGTATCCAGAGGCAGTACCTTTATGAACCGCCACAGCCCCAGTCATTGTCAACAAGCTTCTGCAGAACTTTGCTCGTGTCGGTCTGCCACGGGAGATGCTGACAGACCAAGGGACTAACGTAACTTCTAGATTGATGGCGGAGCTATGCCGGCTGTTACATATCCACGCCCAGTGGTGAGCTGGAGCTGGTTCCCACCGGTTCGCAGGAACCGGTTCTTAAATTTAGAAGCCCTTTTCGAACCGGTTGTTCTGGGACAACTGGTTCTAAAAGGGCTTTTAAATTTCACAAAAGCTTGGGCAGCTGTCCACCCCGTCCCCAGCCCCAGCTCACTTCCCCCTCCTCCCCTGAATGCTCCGCCCCCCCTTCTCCCCTGTATCTAATGCAAAGTTTATCATGTCGGGTGTCTTCAGAAGGCTCATAATGCCCTGAGCATTGTTATTAAAGTAATATTATAGTGATGTTATAGGTTGTAATTCCATGTATATAGTTATGAGGCTGAGAATATGTCTTCCTGGCTTAAAGCAAGCCCAGGCAAAAATTCTTCAAGAGCAGAGGGGCAGTTCACACCTCATCAGGGCATGTATGGGACAAACCCAGCCCAGCCTCACAGGAACAAAGGACATTGGCCTAGGCAACAACAAAGGATCTGTTGGACTCTTGAGTGAGTCAACCCCCTTCCTTTGGTCGGTTTAACACTGTGATGAGGTAATACTCACCTGACTCTGAAGGGTGAGGGGGCAAAGCCAAGAGGGAAGAAAGAAGATGATAAAAGGGAGAGACATTTGCCATGCTCTTCCTCTCTCTTCCACCTACAACTGCAGGCACCACACCAAGCGACTGAAGCGCTGATCAAAGGGGTAAAATAGGAATGGTACTTCCCTTCCTAACAGGAGGATTGTGAGGATGAATACAAAGATTGTCAGGTGCTAGGATACTACAGTAATGGAGGCCATAGATAGAATTAAGTTGTCATTTTTAATATGTATTTGTGTATGTCAATGGGTATGTTGATTCTTGCATCTGAAGAAGTGAGGTTCTTACCCACGAAAGCTTATGCTCCCAATACTTCTGTTAGTCAAAGGGTACGTCTATACCCAGCCGCTAGTTCGGCGGCTGGCAATCAAACTTCTGGGTTCGACTTATCGCGTCTTGTCTGGACGCGATAAGTCGAACCCGGAAGTGCTCGCCGTCGACTGCGGTACTCCAGCTCGGCGAGAGGAGTACCGCGGAGTCGACGGGGGAGCCTGCCTGCCGCGTGTGGACCGAGGTAAGTTTGAACTAAGGTACTTCGAACTTCAGCTACGTTATTCACGTAGCTGAAGTTGCGTACCTTAGTTCGATTTGGGGGTTTAGTGTAGACCAAGCCTTAAAGGTGCCACAGGACCCTCTGTTGCTTTTTACAGATTCAGAGTAACACGTCTACCCCTCTGATACTTGATTAAAAGG